TTTTTTTTTGCAATTAATTGTTTTAATTCCAATAGCTCTAATACATAGCAAAATCCATCTGGAAGTCTCAAAGTTTTAAAAATAAAAGGACCCTGACACCCAAAGTTTGAAAACTGCTGTCCAAGCTCAGTAGTAAGCTCTGATATGAGTAAAACGGAGCAATGAGTTCTTGATTTGATAACAGTCCTTCCATTAAACTACCTCAACAATCACACTTAGTAGTGAAACATTTAAAACTACTCTGAATTTCAAAGAACATTAAAAAATAACATCACCTACAAAATAACATCATCATAACCTATGAGTTATTGTTCATAGTATACTGAAGATAACATGAATGCTGAATCAATACTATGTGAAATTAGATACTTATATTGAATATAAATTATGTTGCATATCACACATGATATATTTTCATTATTGTTATTCATTGATCTAAATAATTAAGAAAAAATGGATGCTAACATTCTAACCCCAACTACAATCTGCCAAAAATTTTCTTCTCACAATGTACTACTTTATATTTTTTAATGAATTCTCACTCTTTTTTTCTCCATTGATGAGACAGTCTTGCCCATTGTTTGATTATATTTAAATACCTTAACTATGAAATTTCTTTTTATGGCTTTACTTACTGTTTTCTTACTACTACAGAGGGAATTACAAAATTGATGCTGTATTTTAGAAAATTAAATCCCTCACCACCATTTATTTAGTCATACTCTATTTAAAAGTATGGTTTGTTTTTAATATCCCTATGTGATTAATCATTGAAAACACTATAATTAGTAACCACACTATCCTACTACCTATACCATATAAACCAAGCTGAAACCTGTGCGTTAACCCTTCTTTCTTGTAGTGATAATGTTGAGCAGTTTTTAAAATATGCATTCTCCAAAAATGACAACTTCAACAGAAAAACCTCGTACATTTCTATCTGCTATAACAATCACATATTCACAAATAAATGGACAAATATGTAGCAATGCATAACATAGAAATTTCCATACAAAGTGTCATCTATAAAGAATTAGAAATATTACATGTAGTTAAGATGTGTTCTAAAAGCAATTAAGCTAAAACAAAAAAAGAACTTTTTATGAATCACAGACAGTTTTCAACGGCCTTGAAAAGAACACAGAAACTTAGGCATCTATAAATCAGAGCAAAACACTTAAAAAACCTGAATTTTTTAATAGGGCACAAACGTAAAAATAACAGAGTCGGTACTGAAAGAAAAAGCTTTTTTAACAGTCATTAGATGATACAAACTAAAGGGATAGATTTAGAAATAAGCATTGCTGCTATCATCAAAATATTGTTTAAGAACTACAGTTGAAAATGTCAAGCCACTCACTTGAGAAATAGTAGACTTAGCATATGCATGGTCTCAAAGATTATATTTAGTATCATTTCTATGAAGGTTTGCCAAGAATAATGTATAACAGAAAAAAAAAAGATTTTACTTCCTTTGATAAGCAAAAATTCACAAGAAAAAAAAAAGGTTATTTTACTTTCTATGATCAAGCTATCAGGTGACCAGGAAATTACAAGGAATAATCAACTGCTAAGTATGTAGTCTCTTCAAATTGTCTAATATCAAGGAAAAAATATAAAGCAATACTACTCAGAATCACAGATCTTCAAAAAAATTTACCCATACATTTCAAAATATGTTCCATGCATTTTAATGACGGATCAACAACTCAACTAAACATTTTTAAAGTAAATTGTTGAGGATGAAGCTATATTAATAATTAGAACCAATGATTCCCTGGAAAGCAATTATTTTTAAATGGGTGGGATAAACTGTATAGTCCAGATAATTTAAACTATCTAAGTATTTTCTTGGGTAATAATTTCCATTAATTTAAAAAATTCTCATCACTGATTTTTTTCCTTTTATTTCTAATTTCTAAAATGAAAAATTAAATGTACTTGGGAGGATAATATGAATAAAATTATTTTTTTAATTTGTACCACTGTCAAAATTCAATAATGTAACAATTTTGTATATTAAAACATCAATTCACTTCTAATGAAAGAAAACAGTGTTTTTCTAATTTAAGAATTTATCATTTCACAGACTCTAGATATCTGGATGTAAAATTGAGGTTACTGGAGAGGGTGTGGGAAGTAAAGGGGGGAAAGGACCCAATGGATTAGGATGAAGAACTATAGGTCCTGTGGTAATGTGTGATGTTGTAACATACATCTGAAGCGGTATGAACCTATACCTCTTAATCATATACAGTGTTGTAAACCAATGTTACCTTAACAACAAAAATAATTTGTTTCAACCCTTTGTATACAAATATCACTCTACTCAACTTTGCCGATAAAAAGATGAATATTTAATTTCACTGCCTTCAAAGAAGTTGAGATAAAGTACAAGTGACAAACACATGCAAATATGTTATGATAAAAGAAAAATAAAGATAGATTCAAAATTATTCCAGGTTGCAAAAGAAGTTTCACTGAAGAAAAAGAGATGTCAGTAAATGTATTGTAAAAGAGTTAACATTTAGTTTGGCCCGAAGTAAGAAGAAATTCATTGAGAAACAAAGACATCCCAAAGATAATGGAGGCATACAGAGTGATTAAAATCTATTCAAAGGAAAGTAAGTTTAGTGCAATTAAAAAATGTATCAAGGCCTCCCTGGTGGCGCAGAGGGGTTGAGCGCCCGCTATGAAGCTGTCCTCAGCCTCTGCAGCACAGGTTCGATTCCAGCTGACCAGGGAGAAACCCACATGGCATGGCAGACATCTCCTGGCTCACCCACTGCTCCCCTCAGCAGTGTCTTCGGTCCGTCTGCCTGTTATGCTCTCCACTCTGGCTCTGGTGAATTCTCTCACCCTCCCGCACTTCTGACTGTACCCAGTGCTTGTATGTATGTATGTATAAATAAATAAGTAAATAAATAAATGATTTTTTTTTTAAATAGCTCAGAGAAAGAAATCAAAGGAGACTAACATTTTCAGCTTGAAAGGGTATTTCCCCAGTATAATAAGTAAATTCAGAAGAGCAAGCAGATTTTTTTTGAAGAAAATTATTGGAAAAGAAACTAGCAGGCTGAATTCCAGGAATACAGAATTTCTGATACCAACAGGCACATACACATATAACCAGATTTTAAGAATGGAGTCAGGAGATAAGGAATTGGAAGTTATTCTTATACAGATAGTAATTTCATTTTTTTCCCTCCTTACTATGACTGGATCATAAAGATGATCAGGATCATAAAAACAAAAGCCACATGCTAAAAACAGAAGCTGAAATCTAGAGACAGACCAATCCTTTATTGTTGAGTAGTTATATCAACCCTACAATGGCCACCTCAAAATCCACTGTTTATTTTTCTTTACCTGACACCCTTTACTTGTCTAAGCTACTGCTGTCATGATTTTTGTTACTTATAGCCAAAGCCACTCCTACCAATGCAGTGTTTAACAGTTTTTGCCCTTGTTCCTCATGTCATTTTCTGTACTCACTGCTGAGAGATCTCATCCTATTCCTTTCAAGATCTGGACACAGTGATGGTGTTATATACAGGTCCTTGCCTTGAATTTCCAGCATATGGGCCAACAAACTTAGCTTTTTAGGGCCTTCTATCACTAGCTAGACTTTAATATATATGGTCTCACAAAAAATTAATTTTAATTCCCCATCCTTTAAATCTCACTTGACAGTGATAATTTTGATAAATCCTGGTGACCTTTCTGTATCAGACTTAAATGTGCGTTATAAAAAGTCAATAGCTCAATGATGCACAACTGAAACTTATATAATGTTAAAATTCAATGTTACTGGAATAAAAAAATTTAAATGTCTGTAATAATAAACATTAAAACAAAATTTCAAATTTACTGTCCTCATAATGGCTACTCATTTGGAAAGCATGCTCTTAGGGAAAAAAGAATGCAATAATATATTAAGAAATGGACAGTCTACCATCTATAATATAAACTTTTACTTATAAAAAGATACATGGAAAAAAATCCCAGTTTATTAAATCTGAGGAAATGAAGTATCCTAGGTTGTACAGCTGTACATGTAAAATCACTACCCTTAGTAGAAGAAAAATGAACGGGAAAAGGAGAGCTGTGAGAAGAGGCTCAACCATAAAGGAAATAGAGTATACAATAGGAAGTGTTCTCAGTTTTTCCCAGTAGCACAAAAATATCCATTCTCATTTAAATTTAGAGTCTATGTAAAATTACACTTCTTATTAGTTTCCTAGCATATAATAATTACTACACATCTGTGGTTGATAACTACAAGAATTCAGTTTCTCACAGTTTCGGAAGCCAGATACTTGAAATCAGTTTCACAAGGCTAATCGAGATACTGGCATAGGCCCACTCCCTCTAGAAGTTGTTATGAAGAATCCCAGAAGCCTCTTCCAGGTTCCTGTGGCTGCCTGGATTCCTTGGTTTATGACTATATCACTCCGATTTCTACCTCTATTCACTCTGCCTTCTCTTCTGTGTATACAAAACGTTCCTCCACTCCTCTTTTACAAAAACACTTGTGACTGCATTTAGGGTTCATCTGAATAATCAAGAATAATCTTCCCATCTCAAGATCCTTAACCTAGTCATATCTGCAAAGTTTGCCATAAGGAAACATTTACAGATTACAGAGAATATAACATAATATAAATATTTTGAAGGCATTTTTCAGATTACCACAATGTCATAAATCATTCCAATAGTTATTCTCTAAAAGGCTAAGAATATGGAAGTTATATGCACATTACAGTCTCAAATTATATTGTTTCACAATGTTCTCTACTCATATTAGCAGCAACACAAGAAACCCCCAAAATACATTTAAAATCAAAAGGGAACATAGATTCTAGTAAGAAAATATCTAGTATGTATAGCCTTAAGAAATCAATCTTTTCAACCACATTAAAATTCTACTCCTTAAAACTAGAGTGGTATTAGTAACAATCCATTCTATTCCAAATTTTAAATCAATATAAGATTTTTACCTCCAGATCCTAACTGCTTGTAGAATCTGTATTCCAAATGCAGCTGTGGTGCTCTGGATTTCATGGGCTCCTGATTTAAAAAACAACATAGTTTCAGTTATTAAAGAAATCACTAGCCTCCAATTCCAAATGTTATAAATATTGCTGTCAACTCTCATATAATGCAATATTTTACTAGGCATCTTTATTTCCCTGTTAGATCCATATAAAAATCAACTTCATGTTCAATGTAAAATAAACTGATAGCATAGATGTACATAAGGTTAAAAGGCTATTACATCAGGCATTGGGTAAATCTATACTTTCATTCTTAGACCCTAAAGACATTCAAACATTCATGACTAGGGAAGTGGTGGCCCTTACTCTGTTTCTCCTATTGCCAAGAATTCACAGTTGAACTGAACATTTCTGGTGCAAAGATACTATATTAAAGTCAAGTCATAGAAAAACAAGAAGGAACAAAGATGGAGATAGGTAAAATTTGATAGTAGCAACAGTGTCTTTTTAAAAGTTTTTTTTTTCTCTCTTATAATAAAATATACAGTTCCTAAGTATTAGGTCCATGAATTTTGTTAACTGGGTGTCATTAGCACCTAGAAAAATCTTTAGCACATTTCCATCATTCCTCCTTCAGAAGAAATAACTTTTTCACTTCTATTACCTGTGGATTCCTTTTGTCTGTTATTGGTGTTCACCTAAATCATATTTTACAGCAAACAGTATAAGTTTGATATGTCTGTGTGGTCTTTTCTCACACAACATGTTGAAATGTATATATATGCACACACACACAACATAAAGAGAAGCAAGACATTTTAGATATTTAAAGCAAATAACAAATGTGTGAAAATATCCTCAGCAAACAGAAAACTATAAAAGAGTAAGATAGTTGAACAAGATCCAACTATGCAACAGAATATGTAGACAGAACCAACAGAACTTCAAAAATTTTTTGAATTTACAATAACCACAATTTGACACTCAGTTTACCAGCAGATTAACATAACATGAAAAGAGAATAAGGAAACTGGGAATAAAGTAAGTCTACCAAAGTAGAAAATTACATACAGTACATCTATATAAACTCTACAGAATGTATTATGAAGGAAGAAAAGTGAAAATACAAAAGATTACAGATCTGGACAATACTATGAGAAGATCAAATACACAGAATTTTAAGAGAAAAAGAGAAAAGTTAACAAAGGCAGCAACTGAAGAAATAATTGCCATGAATATTTAAGAATTGGTGAAGGGTAACAAACCACAGATTCAAGAGGAATAGGAATCCCAAAGTATAAATAAAACGAAATTTATATCAAGAGAAGTAATGAAATTATGACCAGGACAAAAACTTCAGATAAGAAATGAGTGAACTTCTACTGTAACAATTATAAAAAAAGAAGATTATTAGAAAAGAAAATTATGAGTTTACTTCTTGAGAAGGCAGGACATAAGTACAGACACTAAAAGTAAAGATATTGGCATAGGCCCACTCCCTCTAGAAGTTGTTATGAAGAATTCCAGAGGCCTTTCCAGGTTCTTGTGGCTGCCTGGATTCCTTGGCTTATGAGTATATCACTCCAATTTCCACCTCTATTTACTTTGCCTTCTCGTCTGTGTATACAAAATGTTCCTCCACCTCTCATTTACAAAAACACTTGTGACTGCATTTGGGGTTCATTTGAATAATCAAGAATAATCTCCCCATCTCAAGATCCTTAACCTAGTCATATCTGCAAAGTTTGCCGTAAGGAAACATTTACAGATTACAGAGAATATAACATAATATAATATAAATGTTAACAAAGGCAGCAACTGAAGAAATAACCACAATTTAACACTCAGTTTATCATATCTCTCTATATATAGTTATAGATACATACACACAGACACATTTTTACACACACACACACACACACACACACACACGGTACTTAAAGCAGTGCCTTCCACATGTGCTATACTATCTATGTAAGTCTTCATCTAAAAGCATATAAGTATATAAAAGCACATGAACAGATAATGCAGCAAAAGATGCTCACTTAAGCAATCACAAGTGAATTTAAATACATAACTTATTCAGTCACCAATATCCCCAAGGTAAAAATAGAAACCCAGATGTAACTTAGTTCAGTCAGTTCAACTTGACTCCAGTAATAAAATTTTATGATGCCACCATATAAAAAAAGCTACCTCACCATGACATTTTTATTATTCCTAAAGAATACATTATTATATAAGTGCAAATAACAAGATATAGAATGATGGCTGACAAGAAATTAACAAATTATCCTGAAACAAATTATCAACCTGAATTAGGGTAACAATATACAGAAAACTGAGGAGGAGGGAACTAAATTAGTCAGTGAAACCTGCTCTCTGAATACCACTATAATGCCTTCATTTAGACCAAACTCGAAAAATCAGACAGCACTGAAGGGATACAAACTTAAGATTTTCAAGTGATTACTATTATGGCAGGTTCTGAACAAATTTTTTTATCTGTAATAAACAGATACTATATATGGATATTTTACATTTATTTTATAGACATACAAAGATTTAGTAAACTAAGTTTATGTCAAAAAACACAATTTAGTAAACAACAGTTTATGTGAATATTTCTTTGTCCTTGCAATATAATTTTTGGATGACTTTGAGGCAACCTCAAAACATTGAGATATAGAGAGAAAAGTATTTCCAGTTCCTCCAAAGAACACCAAATAACCACCTTTATTAATATGTAGTGCTGATTCTTGTGCTTTAACCCTTTGCACTCCGAACCATTCCAGACATTGGCTACCAATGTCCCCTGAGAAGGGACAGCAGAGTGCAAAGGTTTAAAAAGGGGCAAACCAGAGTAAAGGAAGAATATTCAAAAAACAAAGGGGGGGAAGAGGGAAGTAGGAGAAGGAAATTAGCAGATAGTGAAATGGCATTAAGATAAACTAAAAATAATCATATATATGTATATACATAAGAAGGCTGAAAGATGATAAAGTAATTGTTTACTAAAGCATCAATGGGATCAATCTGGCATGCACAGGGTAAACTAATTCTAAATCTAAATGACTAAAGCAGGTAAGGGGAAGGTCAGTCTAGATCAGTGGCTCCTGTTTTGACACAATGGTTGACTTGCTTAAAAATAACAGCTAAATATCATTCACATGCTTCCCTGAGCAGAGCTGTGCCACATCAAAAACAAAGAATACAGGTGCTGTCACACTACTGTTCTTGTATTTCACCCCACTCCTAATATCTAAAGGTATAGCTCGTAGACCACTAGCTTAGAACATGGGGGAAAAGAACTACAAAGAAATGAAAGGCAGCAGTGTTCTAACACTATGCAGTCCCTGCATCCCAAATCTCTTTATTGCCATTCATATAAACCAATGCCATTTTCCTGATTTCATGCTTATGAGGGAATCTTGTCATTTTAACTAATGTACATCAGACTACAGGAAGAAAAAAATATTTATACTGATTTGTGCACTCTGGATCTATAGTAGTAAAATACTTCATTACAAATTTGAAATTAACTCTTTGCAAAAAAGGTAATAGTTTAATGAATGAATTGATCACTGTCAATAATGGTACCACCTCTGATTAACAGTGACAACCTTAATGAGGTGAACTAACCAGATTTTCTGTCATAAGGTCAAGAATCAGATTAAAACCAAAGGTGAACTAACCTAGGTAAATGCCAGTCCAAGCCACATGGCAGCCAGCAGTCTCTTCTGGGGCACCACAATCCCAGCATATTTCCCAGTAAAACCTGGTCTACATTCACAAAGATACTTAAAATTATATAGTACCGATTTCCATCGCATTTCAAAAGATTTTCTATTTCCTCCTACTTGCTTCTTCCTCTAACAGTTCTCCTTATTAGTCTCACATTATCCTAATACAGATTATTCTGAAAACACAAAATTGAGAAAAGCACACAAACTGGGAAAACCAAATCATGCTTAATCTCTGAGAAGTCTGGTGGCAAACTAAACAGAAAAGGTGTGCCAGGAAAATATCATGTCCTTTTTCCATCTTCTTTTTTTTTTTTAGACATGTTAAAAGAACAGGTTTACTAGGAAAAGAGAAAGAAACAGAGAGGCACCTGTATAGCCACAGGCAGGCAGGAGAGCTGCCAATAAAGTTGTATCTTAAAAAATTCCCAGATCTCAACCCTTGCAAATGAAAGAGCTGCCTTACAGCAGTTGTACCACACACTAAGGACATCACAATAGTCCGTAGGAGTTTGCTTTTCATGTTACCCACCACACACTTCAAATATTTCTGATACCTGGAGGTATCAGAATGATACCTGGAGGTCAAGCAATAACCAGCTTTTACCATATCAAAAATATCAATAAGGAAAAATGTTTTCAAAGCTATCTGGAGATATATTCTCAAAAAATTCAACCTTGACTACTAAGGATACATTATCCACATGCTTAAATCAGGAAATAAAATTTTACTTTCTAATTCTTAAATAATGAAAAATAGTGCCAAAATTGAAAAATTCTATTCTATAATGTTGCCAATGTAAAGAGACTGAATTTGTGCGGCATGGGAAGAGACAGACATCCTCTACAGTATCATATATTTAAGGGGTAGGATAATGCCAAGAGCATAATACAAAAGATCAGCTATATATATATATATATATATATATATATATATATATATATATATCATTTCCCAAAAAAGTGTTCATTATAAATGATATGAAAACAAAAAATATAAGTTAATCATTAAAGAAAAAATAAACATAAATAAGATACGTGAACTTACCAGTTTAATTGCCACATATTCATTTGTATATAAATTTTTCCCTTGGAAAAAAAAAGAAAACAGGTGAGATTCTATAGTTATTATTTAAAGATACATTACATTTAAAAAGTACATATACATTTTAAAAAATGCAGATTTTTACTTCCAACTACTTTAGCAAAAACCCACAATTATAAGGAAATATTTTAAATCAACACAATGTATTTAGTATTTCATCTAGCTTCAGAGCAGAAAGTAATATTTATAAATACTAGCCCATTTATAAAAGTGGAAAGACTTTTACTTATTTAGGAAATAATCAATTGTAAAACACCTGCTTAACTAAATTTCAAAACCAGAACTCCTACATAAAAACAGGAACACAAAATCTGCTCCCAAGCACAAATTCATTTTAAATTCTTCATTATTATAATACGTAATTTTATTAGGGTACATACTAACTATACTTAATATAGCAAATACACAGAAAAAATGAAATATATTAAAAATAAAAAATTAATTTTCTCTCATAAATTAGTTTGAGGGTAAAAGGTTTTTACGATGTCACCCTAGACTTATAAGTTAAATAAAACTACAAGGTAAGAGAAACATTTACTGCCAATATCTGGACACCTTTTGGAGCACAAGAATGAAAAACAATAGTATGATCAGATTTTAAACAAATTCTATTACATTTCAATATTATTAACGTCTACATATTCAAAAAAAACTACCAGATAGAATAGATAAATGGGAAACCAGGGTACAGTTAATATATTGATGATATTATCAATATGTGAAGAATTCAAATGAATTACAGTAATATTTGGCAATGAAAAATAATTTAGAAATTACAACAGATCAGCATCTGCAGCCCACATAAAGTACTATGAAGAATTTTGAAAGCTGTGAAGTATATGAAAACAATTTGTTACACAAATTATGAGTTTCTTTACAAGTATATTAAGGAATTTTTAAAAAGAAACATAACAATATGTGACTCGGTATTTTTTCACTAAGCAAGAATTATTTTCATGAGAAAAAGAGATTTTTTTTAACTATGAAAGTAATTGGCCCTGAACACAGAACATCCCAATCATGAACTTTCACATATGATTTTACAACAAAATATCCCTAGCTTCCTTTTATACAGCAGCTCATGAATGGCAGTAAAACTTCTAAACAAAATTCCAATCTTGGCTATGTTGCCACCTTTGCATGGCAGTGCTTGTTCAAGCAACTATACTAGTTTTCTGAATTAGTGGAGAAAAACATTAATGCTAATCGAAATAGTATGTCTCACAAACCCTTTACAGTTACTATCACAAGATGGAACCCAAAAGAAGAACCAAAAATGGCAGCCATAAAGCTATATGCAGGCATTTTGGAGCCCATAAATACTTTCAAAATACTAGAAAAAAATGGTTAGCCAATTATTTCATCATTTAGCTATGCCATCATAAACATTTTCAAGAATGCTTTTTGTATGAAACCTTAGCCTTCTGTGTGCTTACAGAGAATAATATAATAAACAGTAAGACGTTGAATCTTGAGAAATTAGTGCCTAACAAAGGGACAAATATGTTTGAGTTGGTAGATGAAATCTGTATTTCATCAAGAATTTACATTTTTTCATAAGTATATTGTATATGATATTCACAAATACATAAAAAATTCACAGGACAATAAGCTAGGTTAACTACGCATTCCATAGAACCCATATGTACCAAATACTAATTAAAGTACTGGTTTTGTCAGCTTTATATGGTTAAATGTCTATTTTTAAGTCACAACAGAAAGCACTAAATCCTAAAAGCATCAAGCCTCTTGCATATTACAGAATTTGCTGAACTCTCTGGACTATATTTATAAAAATGAACAATGATTAAACAATACTATCAATACATTTTCTGTCACTGAGCATTAAGTATATTTCCTCACATAGTCGGCTTTTAATGTTTTGCTTTGCTCATAAATAAATGACACACAAAGATGTGACTGCTCACATAATAGGAGAGAAGAGGAATGAGAGTGTGTAGAGAAAATCTAGTAAAGTGAAAACTTCACATAGGCTGGTTCCAGTTACTCACGTTTAAAACCAATAGATATTTCCAATAGAGCTCTGTGTCACACTGAGCCTGAAAAATGTTTTACCAACTTTGTGGTGTTTTCAGTAGTAATGATCATTAAAAAATTATGTTTTACAGAATACATACTTATATAGATATATCCATATCATACATACACACGTAAGCTTATAGCAGGAACAGCTAGGTACACACCCAATAACCCACTCTCCCCTTTGTGTGACAACAGAACACCCCATTTCTTAAATGACTGCCCAGCTAGAAACTACATTTTCAGCTTCCCATTCAGTTTGACATAGTCATGTGATCAAATTCTGTATAGTTGACATGAGGTAAGTGACTCCCCACTTCAAAAAGGAATGTGTGATGTCCTGGCCCTTTTTTTCTTATTGGCCGGAAGATAGCAACAACTTGAGTAATCACTAATGGAGCCCTTTACTCTATCAAAGAATTGATAAATCCCAGGTGGAGCAGTCTTTCCCTAACCAGAAAGGTTTTTAAAATGTGAAACCTAATAAAAAGAAAAGTTTATATATATATATAAAATGTAACCCTGTGTCTTATCTAGCTATGTCTGGTCTGACTCAGTACAACTCAGTACAAGAAGAGGATGGACAATGAACGGACATACTAAAAGACTGATCTTATTCCCATTCCTATTTATTCACAGACTGCAAAAGAAATGCATATTTTATTGCTTTTTCAGCACAGAGCATATATGGTGTCAATATATAGTACATATGCTGCTTTATATTGTCCTGGTCATGAGACAGCAATAGATACATGCAGTATGCATTTATATAATACATCTACATGGCTGATTCATATACATTTAAATAAATATACATATGATTGCAATTTAAATTTTAAAAAAGAAACAAGTATCTTGATATCATCTTTTAAAGACCAGAAATTTGTTGTCTTGTGAAATATGCAGGCATAGTGTTGGTCCTTTACATTATCATGTAAATTAAATCTTCATATTAATCTAGGAAGGGAAAATAATCTCAATTTTAAATTGAGAAATTTGAGGTCCTAACCTAAGTGGTTAAAAATGGCTTACGGCTTCCATAACATCAGGGATGGTATTTCTGTTTTTCCAATGTATTACCAGTGCCTAATCATGCTTCACCTATAACAGGCATGCAATAAAGGGTGAATGGATTGATGAATGGTGCTCAGAGCTACACAAGTAAATAATCTAGTTTTTCTGTCTCCAAAATCACAAATAATTTAAGATTTTCAAAATAACTAACTCAACATTCTTCCAAAAATTAAATGTAAAACATTCACCCTTTCAAATACTTGAGGCCCTACATGCAAACAACCTGCCAGTCACAAATCACATTGCAGCTATGCACAAACTTTGTCACTGCCTTTTATTGGCTTGCTTCAGTCCAACATTTAATGCACACTACACCAAACAATAATAAAATTAAGGAGTAACTACAAATTAGGGCGCTTTATAAGATGAAAAGGACAAGCAGCTGAGTAGATAAACATAGAATTGAATTTACTTCTTAACAATGAAGTTGGATCTAATGAAAACTGTGGAACCAATTTTTCCTTTTTCACTTCTACAGTTTCCACTTTGAGAAATAGTACTGACCCGAGCTCTCAAGGTAACCTTAATACTGACTCCCATATAACCATGCAGTGCACCTTCTTGTTTCGTTCCAATGAAGAAAGTCACACTTCAATAGTACCAGGAGTTAAAAATCTCAATTTTGTTCCTGAGTCTGTCATTAAATTATGCTGTGACATTTGGCAGGGAACCTGCCCTCACTAAGTATTAACTATTTTAAAAATAGTATTAGGAGATTTAATTACACCAATGTTTCTCAAACTTATCTGATTGTAAGAATAAGGTGAGTTTGTACTTTGTGTCCCTTGTTGAGAATACAGATTCCTGAACCCCCACCCAGTGGGGAAGATTTGAATAAATCCCAACAATGTAAATTTCACTGACTTTTACATAGTTTCAGGATATTGCATTCATTTTAAGCCATACAAATCCACCAAAAAGGATTAGTTACTAAATGTGTTAAAAGCAGAAAAAACAGCCTAAATATAATTCCTAAAGACTACACTAAAAAGGCTTTCCTGGCACTTATTTCAGCCTGCTGGGACTTTTTAATCTACTTTCTTTTACCCCATATTCTGCATGGTTAATCTCAAGTAAATGGCCATTTCAATAACAGAGAATTCCTTACAAATGAAAAACACAAGGGTATATGAAATTTCTATAATCTGAATTCTTTAAAATTACCATAACAAAAAAACTAAATTATTTTCATTAGAAAGTATCTTTATTTAAAAAAAAAGTTTCCAACATAATAGAAGAAACACAATACTCTTACCTAATCGTAATTCTCCAAAATTGCCACATCCAATTTTTTTTCCAACTCTAAAGTTAGGTCCAACCATTAAAACTCCAGAGGATGAAGACCCAGTTCCACGAGTACTGTGTCCTGACCGACCACTAGGCCGTGCCATTCTATCATCTGATTTGTCTTTGTCTTTCTTTTTATTATCCATATCAAGTTTGCGGTACTCCACTTTGAATTCTTTAATCAAGACAAGCACACTGAAATAGGGTACTGTGAAAACAGGTACATCACTAGGTAACTGTACCAAGTGGGCAATGTTAACATTCAAATTGCAGAAGGTAGTCAATTTGACTGGCGCGTGTTCATCCCATTCGTAAAATTTTTCTCAGTTGTTTTTTCAGCAAAACATGTCTTCAGAATTATCTTTTCAATGATGTGAGATGACACTGACAGAGAGCTAGAACATTAAGAAAAGAAAATCAGTCAACCAAAAGAATTTAAAACATGTTGGGAAATTAATGACATCAAAAGTTTAGGCAATGTATTATTGCTATTTGTAAATACCCACTGAAATCAAATCACAATAGATTTTGAATTAACCATTACCCTTTCCTGCCTATCCCCAAAAGATGACAAAAACAGACAAATGAGGATTTATTGAGCTCTTTAAGCAAAAGTAACAAAAACATATTGAGTGTTTCATAAGCCAATATATATCCACCAAAACATCCAATTTAAAATCATTTCACTTTTTAAAAATACTCAAACAATTCCAGTAAGTCCTTAGAAGATTTCCAATTTAAAAGCAGAAAAAGAATATATTTTATTAATAAATAAAAGGTAGTAATAAAAGTATCTTCTACATATTCACATACTTAATAATTTTCAATGTTTACAAAGATACATTCGTATTTGAACTTCATTTATTATCCACTAACTACATATGGGAAGGGGCTCTGAAATGATAATATAAAGAACATTCTTGCCAACCATCAAGCAAAACAATTAGTCTTATGTAACATTGTGGAATGGTCCTTAAAATATAAATGTAGTTTCACAATGTTAAGAAATGAGAGCAGGCATCAACCTTATGAGATAAAGGGAAAAAAGACTTTCAGTTTTCTAATATACAAATGAAAGTACTAAGGCACAAAAAAATTTTCAAAACTTTTGGTGAAGTCAGCCGCATTTAGCTTCTCTAGGAATTTTACCCATCAAACATGCTTCAATTTTGTGGTAAACCTGCAAAATTAAATAATCCTCTGAACATACTGAATGGATTCCTATTCTTTGTAATTAAAGCTGCTTTGACTTCAATATCATAAATTTCTTATTCCTTGAAATTTCTCAAATTGTTGATTATATAATGTAATCCTAACAAGGGTTGAAACAAATAGCACTTTGTGATTAATTTTCCAAAACTCCACATATGCATTTATTTCCAATACCCATCCTATTTATCATTAAATTGTTAATAATTTATCAATAACGGCCATACTCTTATTCTGCTTATCAACTTGTAACTACCTGTTTGGGATATATAAAATTGAATGAGACCTCTGTTTCCAGCATAACCAAGTAACCGATACCAAACTACCCTTCCTACTATAAATAACTATAAAACTGAACAAAACATATGAAGCACCTGTTTACAAGCATTGTATAATGTGTAGACACTGATCCTTGATCTCTGAAAAAAGAAAAAGACCTAAGTTGAACTCTACCTTTAGCCAAGCTCTCTGGCTAGGGACAATTTTCTAGCTACAGATCAGTGTGGGACTACTGAAGCAAGTACAATTTGTGGGACATGGTATAGAAGGTGAGGTAGAAGCAGTATTGGAAGTAGGAACTGTTAGGGGAGATGGCTAGGCTACATGTGCTGAGAGGATATTCTGAAATACCTACCAGACAATGGCTACTTTGGGAGACAATGGCTACTATGGAATTAGTGAAAAATGGACAAACTAAAGGCCACAAATAACAAGATGAACCCCAGAAATTCAGCTGAAATGCCACAAGTACCTGGACTCAAGAGTAAGACAATACCCTACCGTAAGGACTACTCTAGACTAGCTCAACAAAAGTTGAAAACCAAACCTAGATAAGAATAAGAATAGCTCAGTTGAATTAACTGCATCCCAGAATGAAATGTAGCAAATTTTAAAAAGAGAAAAAAAATTTCCACAATGTTCAATTCATACCATCCAGCATATGGTTGTAAGTTACCAGAAAAGCAAATAAGCAGTAAATGTGACTAACAGTTAAAAAAAATAAAGATGTCAACAGAAACAGACTCCAAAATAGCCCTACACTGAAATTAGAAAAATAGAACATTAAAGCTACTAAAAAGTTATTAAAGTCCTGTTAGTTTGGGAAAAAAGGCAGAAAAAAATATATGAAGAAATGACTAAAAATCGCCTAAGTTTGGTTAAAAAAAAAAAATCAACCTACAAATTGAAGAAACTCAGCAATTCCCATAAGGGATAAACAGACAAAATTAAATTTAAGTATACCACAGTCCAAAGAACTAACAAAGCAAAAATAAAGGAAAAATCATGACAGCAGACAGAGAAAAACTATGTAACATATAAACTGCTCTTAAAATAAAAAAAGGAGGCTCAGAAGAAAATGAGAGACTATTTTCAAAACAATGAAAGACAGGAAAAAGAAAAAAACCTTCAAGCCAAAATTCTACAACCAGTAAAGTTTTTCTTTAAAACTGAAAGTGAAAGAAAGCCATTTTCAGATGAGGGAAAGCTGCGAATTAGTCATCAACAAATGATTCACACAGAAATGTGAAACTTCAAAAAGAAATTAAGAGTGCTGGAATTCAGAAATGCATGGGGATTGATTCCCTTAAAAGATGTTAGTGTTTAAAGTACAAATAATTTCTTAGTGCCATTTATAACATGTATGGAAGCAAATTATACGGAAAAATGACAGAGAAGAATTAGTAAATACAATTAAGCTATTTTATTAACTCTCAAGTAGCTAATGACAGGGCTTAGTACTAAAAATGCATGATTTCATACTTGAAATAAATTCACCAAATTAGCAAAAAAGGTATGTCAATAGAGAAGAAAATGCATTTGCTGAAATCCAAGCCATTAATGATTGATTTAACCCTCTCAGTAATCCAAAAGTGTAGAACTGTTTCAACCAAATAAAATGAATTTTAAAAGAAAACCTACATTAACATCACACTTAATGGCAAAACATTAAACTTATCAACCAGTCTGGGAAAAAAACAAGTATGCCAGCTATTATATTTTCTAGTCAACACTGTACTGAAGAACTAGCTTGTGCAATAAGGCATGAAAAGATGCAAAAGGCATGAAAACGAAAGAAAAAAGGGTATGACTGCTGTTCATAGACATGATTGTGTGTACAGAAAATCCTACTGGGTTATGTCATCAAGAAAGTAACACAGGCCATTGGCAACTTTCGTACCCAAAGAAGGTGGTCAACCAACAGATAGCCACAGAGAAAACATAACTGAAAAAATTCCTGAACTCAAGGATAAGGTTCACGCATTCTCTTACCACAGAGACCAAGGACCAAATTAAAAGCACAGAGCAGGGGCTAAACTCAGATCATATTGCCCCTGCCCTCCGCTCCCTGAGGTCAGCACTGCACCACATCCAGGTGTTTCTTCCAGTGGGAAAATGAAAGCTCAAGCTCCCCAGCATTGTAGGGCCTTTCCCAAGAGGTTCCTTTGGGTCTCAACTCACAGGAATCACTAGGGCAGTCTTCTGGGAACCACAAAGAAACAGGATATCTCAGCAAACTAGCAACAAATAAGGAAGTTGAATCAGTAACCAAAGACGTCCCAATAAAAAAGCCCCAGGCATAAAGAACAACTAGAACTCTCAGACATTGCTAGTGAGAGTATCAAATACTTTGGGAAAAAGTGTGATAATTTATTATAAAGTAAAATACTCACTTACAAGCTATCGATACCACTTATTTAAGCAAGAGAAATGAAAACATGTTTATAGACTTTTTAAAGCAATGTTTATAGCAGCCATATTCATAATAGCCAAAAACTGAAAACAATCCAAATGTCTATAAACAGAAATGATAAGCTGATACATTCATGCAGTGAAATACAATTCAGTAATAAAAAGTAAAGAAATTCTGATACATGCAACAATATAGACCAATCTCTCACTTCATTGAGTGAAACAAGTTATACACAAGTGAGAATATATGATTTTCGTTAAATGAAGTTTTGGAATGAGTTATTGCTTCAGGAGGTGGGAAATTTCATAAATTATATGAGGGTAGTTTCTAAGGAAGGGAAAAGTTCTGTATCTTGATAAAGAAGGAATTACATCGGTGTAAATATTTTCCTAAACTCATCGAGCTACACTTAAAATGTATGTATTGTATGTAAATTGAATTTAAAAATGTGATTTTCAGAGTTAATCTACAACCCCCCCAAAAGTAATGTTATATTAGATGTGCATGTTTCCCCCACTATAACATTATCATAAAACTTAACTGAATGGGCCTCCCTGGTAGTGTGGGGGTTAAAGACACAGCGCAATCAGGCTATTGCCAGCCACTGCAGCACGATTTCGATCCCTGGCCAAGGAGATGACCCACAGGCTCAGCAGACCTCTCCTGCCATGCTCGCTGCTCCCCTCAGCAATGTTGTTTCTGTCAGTCTGCCTGTTCGGTTACCCGCTCTGTCTCTGGTGAATCCTCTCACCCCACACACACACCACCTCCGGCCTACACCCCAGTTCTTGTATGCATAAATAAATAAATAAATTTTTAAAAAAAACTTATCTGAAAATGCTAATTTTTTAAAAGTTAATGTACATCATTATTTTACTTTAGAAGGTCTTTTTAAAATGGGTCTTCTTTATCTACTTTGAAAGAAGTATTTTTCCTTTTAGCTCTTTGTTTATGATTACCCAAATATCCAAAATACATTCTACATGTAATAAGAATTCACATAATGTAGAAATACCCACTGGTGTTTATCTCTAATTTCTAATCTCATATGCCAAATTGAGAGGTAACCATCACCTTCAATTTGGTGCACATGCTCCAGATTTATGCTGTAATGTCTGTGTTTGCAGTAGTATTTGTAGATCTGCTTTATATAAGAGATTTGCATGAAGTCTCTGAAAAACCCAAACTGCCCCATAAGGCCAGTTACTTCCTTGAGCTCCCAAAAGAATTCCTGGCTCCAATCCTCTACAAATAAGTTTTATATAATATGAAATAAACTTCTTTCAAAGTAAGTCCCAATCTTTGTAACCTGCTGCAATGTACCAGTTCTCCCCGTTATTTGGGATCTTTGTGATCTGCTTCTAGACCTCGTTGATGTTTCTCCTTGTCTATGTACTAGAAAAAGCATAGGATTAGAAAAAGAAGTGTTGAAATCCCAATGTAATTACCAAATAGTTGTGACTCTTGGACCAGGCTTAATCTGCCTAAGATTAT